ACTACATATGATGTAAAAATCCGTGCATACACAAGCAAAGGGCCTGGTCCATATAGTCCAAGTGTCCAGTTCAGGACACTACCTGTGGATCAAGGTAGGATTTGTCTGCCTTGTTTTTTAAAGGAATTTCGGTCTTTGGAGATCCATTTTTTGAAGCTGTAATTAAAACTGACCATCATAAAAATAGCTTCAACTAACACCAGAGGTAAAGTATGTAAATCTTCATGTGTTTTGGATTCATTAGAATTCAGTTATCCTATATCAGGCAAGTCTGGCTGACATCTGCACACTAATTGCAGGTAAGAAAAATATAACATTCTGTGTTGTCAATTGCAAGAATAGGATGTGGTTTTTAAAAGCAGGTAGGAGAATTGTTGAATGTGTTGATAGTGGAATGGGAAGGGATACAAAGATCAAGATGTACTTTAAATACATTGCTTTTCATTTTCCAGCAGTGTTTGCAAAAAATTTTCATGTCAAAGCTGTAATGAAGACATCAGTATTGCTCTCTTGGGAGATACCAGAGAATTATAACTCTGCCATGCCATTCAAAGTAAGTTGTTTTGTAATTAATGAGACATATAAGTAAAAATAACAATGGCTAAATAGTTTAATGAACAGGGTTTTTTCCCAACTGTACGGTTAAAAACATGCTAGAAATGCCAGTCTCTCTGTTAAGATAGGTCTCCCCCCATTTTTTTCAGGGGTGGTGTTTTGGGGATAAAATTTTTGGGGAGAAATTGAAACATATGCAATACTTAGTTTCCTATCAAACCTAAACACATTTCACTGATTGAACAACATAGTTGGTAAGCATTTAATATTGTATTATTCAGCAAACTGGTGAAATTTAAATGTATAAACACCTTTGTTTTCTATAAGAAAAACTGCAAATGTACCCAATTCTTGAGGGAAAAGTTGAAAACTGCTGCACCCTATGATGTCATTGCACATTTATATTTAATTCTGTAGTAAGCAAAAGAAAGTGTATTTGGACAGAAATGCTTTCATAGAGTCATAATAGGTAAGACCCCCCCCCATGTTTGGATATTAAGTTAGAATGTATTATCATTTAAAATACATATATTATAATTTAATACTTTATAATTTTAATACATTATAGCTTATGAATCGTTGCCAAAATTATTTAAATTTCAACAAAAACATCTTGAAAAAAATCTCAAAAATATTGCTCCCCAAAATTTCCCCCTTTTTCATTGGAAAAACTGAGAAAGTCCTCAGACTTTTTCATGCTATATGTTTTGAGTGTGAGCATCATTGACTTAAGCATTTTACTCAGTCTAAAAACAAAACCATATGTGTTCCCCAAAATTTTCCAGTGCCCACACAAAAGGCCATGGGGGGCATTTTCCCCATTTTTTCCTGGGTTCTTTTCCCACCAAGCCCTCACATCTCTAGTCTCCTTGTGTAGGCTAAACACAAGAGGGAGAAAAATGTTTGTTTCTGCTCTTTAGATTATTGTAAATAAGAGTGTTTTTTTAAAGGATAGAATAATATGAAGTTTAAAAAATCAGTTTTACTATTCTGTACTCCTAGATTAGTTTCCTTTGTTTTGTGTTATTTTTGTTTTAAAGTGTATTAAAATAAATCCATTCTCATACTACCAAAACTAGAACCAATGTTTCTTAACTCATATTCTCATACAGTTTAGTTCTGTTCAAATAAGTAATAAAGGAAAACCATTGTTCATATAAATCAGTATTGTGTATGTGCTTTCCCATAGTTTACAACATGCAAGTTTCTTCATTATCATTGTATGCCAGAGGATCCTCTTCCTTTGAGTGAAGCAACTAAGATGCAAACAGTGACTAATCCTTGACTAATTTCTCATGAATTTCTTCCCCATATTCTTGAAACATCTTTAAAATAATTACCATTAGATCAAAAGTAAATTCATATCCATTAATATTTTTATTCCCAGAAAGTGTCAACATGCATGTGCGTGTTACCAGATATGCTTAAAACCAATCTCTGACGGAATGTATCTAGCAGTAGTTCTCCACGTTTTAAAATAATAATAATAACAACAACAACAACTAGAGAGCAATATTGCAAATATTTCATTTTAAATTGTTTTTAAATTAGAGTCTGAAGAATAAAATAACTAACATGGTATATATAGCTACAATTCATTTAAAATATAGAAGATCAAACCTCATATTCTGGTGATGTGGTTGCGTTCAGGTACTAGGTACTAGTGACGTCTATTGATGATGATAAATAGATTATACAAAAATTCAGCATACAGATTGTGTGTTATGAAAAAAATAGCTAAAATTCAAAAGGGACAAATGTGTTGCAGGTCACCCCTGTATCATTTAATCAGTATCCAGTTGCCACTGGCAACAGAAATGCTTGGCCTGGCAAGTAGTGTCTGGCAGCAGAAGAGCTGCAGCTGCTATTCTTTCTGGCTGCTTGCCACTTCTTTTTTCACTAAAGGAGTGTGTAGACTGAAAAGTTGAACTGGCCTGCTGAATCCCTTGAAGGACATGAGGCAGTGCTCTTTCTTTACACAGGTTCTTAGAAGGAAAAGAAAGATGTGCAGCTTCCTCCTTTCTCAGCTGATTTGTTTAATGAGACAGAGAGATTCAGTTTCCCTATAGTTCCTGTTGTTTAGTGATATACATTCCCTCCCTGTGTTCTTGCGATCCTTTCCACCAACAGCCCTCATCCAAATCCAGCCAGAGCCCTACTAATCCAGACCAGTGTTGCCAGTGTGACAGGTAAGGGCTAAAAGACACACATCTTTTTGCCCTCTCCTACTATTGTTCACTGTGTTTAATATAGCAGTGACCTGTGCAGGACAGCAGCAGCTCTTGTTATAGTCAACAAGTGTCAGGAAGCAGCATGAATGAAGCACAAATGGGAAAATAGGTCGAACATCATATTGTTGCTGCAGTTGTAGCTCCAACTAGCAGTAAAGCAAAACGTTTGCAACTGGAGGAGGTGATGTTCGACTCTGTTTCTTGGCAATGCTGGGGGGACAAAGTGGAGTGGAAAAGGATGAAGTGTTTTTGTTTGTCTGTTTGTTTATTTGTTTGTTTGCAATAGAGCTGAGAAGGGTTAGGTGTAAGAAACAGAGGGAAAGTAAGCAAGGCTGCAAGAAAGAGCTACAGAACCCCACTACAAGGTATTCTGCACTACAAACACAACTTTTTTTAGATTTTGAAAAGAGAACTCCAGTTCATTCTGGCAACAATCTTCCAGGTTCTACTAACCACCATCCCCACCCTCCTCTTCCTGCTTGGTGTTCTAGCCCTGCCATTCCCTCACCTTTCTATATGCCCTCTTTCTTTTGTATGTCCAGCCAACCAATCTCCTTTTTTCTGGATTTCATTCTACGTCCTAGATCAGTAGCAGACCTAGTGGGGCAACTGTGTGTATTTATTCATATTTAAATTGGGAAAGGCCAAAAATAATGAATTCAATTAAGTATGACAAAGTCCTATCCCTTCCCTCTTTACATAACTATACTCTGTTGAAACATTTCTTTTTCTGTAAGTCCAACTCTGATACCAGAAATTAACTGGGTTGCAAGAAGAGGTATCAGCAACAGAGTACATGGAAGGGGGCAGGGTTTTGTTAACTTTACTTGTAATCTCCATGTTTTTATTGTTTAAGCGATACCTGGTCCCCAGTTCAAGGTTTCACATGAATGGGAGCACATGTGAATAAATATTTGTGAATCCACTGCAGTATCTCTAGACAGTCAGTTTCTGTTATAATATAGAAAGTGCCAGTCCTTTATTGCAAAACTTGGAGAAGCCTAGGATGACTTCCAGCAGACAGTATATTGTAATAAAATCACTACAGTTTGAAGACAGCTTCCAGTTTCACCCTTCCAGTTTAGTTCTCCAGTTTAGCAGAATATGATACCTTTGTCAGAAAAATGTTTTGGTAAAGTAAAGGATCTTATGCCAGCCTGTAGGATCTGCAGTATGAACATCTGTGGTCCTGTTAAGAAAACAAAACCAGAGTTCTCAGATGATGGCAACATCCTGGATTCAACAAAGATTTAACCAAAGTTGTGACATAGACATGATAATAAGATTGGCAGAAAGTAGATACCGTATATTCCTGGATATTATAGCATCCATCTAAGTAGAGTTAACAGGCAATGCTATTTTATACTTACGCAGGTCTGAAGAGTTTGTATTACAAATGTGTGTGTAAATATTAAATACAAATAGAACTTTCAGATTCTAATCAATTTAGCATGCATGCCACCGACTTTAAACATAAATTAAAAGAGAAACTTAATTGTTTGGAGTCTTCAGAAGAAATGTGGTAGAGAAGCGTACAGAATTACTGCATATGTTAATAATACTAGAAAATAAAGATGGATGCTACATCTAAGTCTATAGCCAAATGACCTGCCATTGTATATTTGCATTCTGTTAATGTGATGTTTATAGAAATATAGGTCATTAGAGTCCATGAATAATATCGTTTGCAGCACACGTTAAGGAGAATCACCTCCTTTGGTCTGCCCATGTACAAAGGCTTCTGCTCATGAGTCTTCTGTTTATGCAGTGGGTTCACTGGATCTAAGTCAAACTGATAGATCAACTAATGTTTCAAAGGGGGATTTCAGATCACTGTTATTGCAAATGCACAATGATTCTTGGAGTCTTAATAGCATGTACTTCTTAGAGCCCTCACAGCAACAGAATGCCAGGATCCTTAGATAAATAAGTAAACATACTGTGGTAAAGTTTGTGTGTACCAGAAGGCTAATTGTTGCAATACATGACTACAAGTCTCTACTGGGATCTATTGCCATAAAGGGATGGTAGATGCCATTTCCAGCATCTGAGACTTTTTTAGTTTTAGCACTGACATTACTATTGAATAGCAGATACTAGTACTAGCAGCAGAAAGACAGCACAAGTGAGAAAATAATGATGAATCTGAAAATATCCATGTAAACCTGATAAAGGCCCCGGTCACACAGAGAATTTGCCGTGTGAAAGGCACAAATGTCAGGCGGATTTTTGGGGTGCAATCACACCGCACACTGCAAATCACACATCTGGGAAGCATAGTGCACCCGTGGCCAACTCATGGCATCCCGCTGAAGATGCAGAGTTAAAAAGTACCTCGGAAAATGCAGTAGTATCCGGAAAACGTGGGGCAGGGGCGGGCGTCTGATCACGTCCACGTCCTGTTGCAAACCGGATGTTTTTCGTAAGCACATGCGCACAAACACGAAACTGAAAGCAATGCTGCTCTGCGGAACTGTGCATGCGCACAAATGTGAAACGCTTCTGTGATCGTGCCGCGCCACTTCTTTGCCACGCTGCAGCATCGCCGTGTGATCGCCAGCTAACAGCCAAAGCTCGGAGACTCAAGGGACCGTGTGATCGGGCTACCACGCTTTATTTTGCTCCAGGGCAAACAGCCACGCCTCCCCCCGCGTTATCTGGCCTGTGTGACCAGGGCCAAAGAAGAGCTCCCTGGTATCAGAATATGGTAGTAATTTTGAGAAGCCACAACAAATAAATCACAGTGTAGCACATAATCAAAGCCATT